GAGCATTAAAGGGCAGCAGGACAAGGAGAATTGGCCCCATATCAGCAGTGAGTCACCGCCACTATCAGCAAGTGAACTGCATTCCACTCCCCTCAGGCAGGCTCAGAGTGCAGAGCAGTGTGGGTGACGTCGCTGTCAGGCAGGAGTCCTGGGCCTGGTGGTGATGAGGAAGGAGCAGTTGATTTTATGGAAAAGAATGGAGGTATTATGGTTGAGGTAGATGCAAAGAGTCTTGGTCCTCTTGTGTTCACTGACATTCATTTTAATGAGACGTTAGAGAGCAAATTAATAAAGGCAGGGGCCATTTCCTACAATTTAGTCATTAGAGCAGAAAAGCTCAGCGGTCCCCTCTTGAGTTTGTAGTGTTGTAGCAGTACATCAGGCTCTCCTCATCTCGGAAATAGCTCGCATCTCGAAGGCAGCGTGCAACACAGGCCTTTTAGGAGAAGGGACTGTTAAGGGGTCATTACTTGCTAGTCAGAAAGGCCTTCAGTGCAATGCGTCGAAAAGTTTTGCCCCAGCCCACCGTGTGACAGCAGATCCCTTTTTGAAAGAATGGAAGGAAGATAAAGAGGAGCCTTCAGGTGATGAAGATGAAAGGATTGCGGTGGTGTATTCAGCTCAGCACCCAGAATTGGAAGTATAGGGTGACATGGAAGAGGAGGTGTCAGGTATGTGGGAAATGAGAAGCAACAAACTAAGATCTGAATTATGGTGGTGTTAGTTGAGGTACTTTCTGTCCAGTAAATCTGGCCTTTTCTGTTCTTAGGTGCTTTTGAATGTACTAAGTCCAGTCAGATTTTAAAAAATATCTTTAGTAGGAAAATTATTCTAAAAGCTAACTCTCTTCCTTTAGTCACACGCAGCCTGGTTTATGTTCATTACTTTTTCTGCTTGCAGTGGATAGGTTCACGGATAATCTGGAATATATTTAAAGACTGATATGAACTGGCGTGATTGCAGAATTACTGTATGGTAACTCATATAGCATATAGCATTTTGTTTACTGATGGAAATCAGATACTTGTGTAGTACACCAAAAAAAATAAGGTTTTTCTTATTACTTACAAACGTTTCACAAAATAACGTTGAAGGTAGTGTTCAAAGGTGTTTAATGAACTAAAATCCTACACAGTGTTCACCTATTTCATACTAGTGTGTAAGAGCCCTGTGATCTATCCTTAAACCATGTGAAGGGCACGCCAGTATGCGACTCAGCACTTGCCTGGTGAGGGGAGATCTCATGGGTGCCTTGGCTTTGTGCAGGCCCTGATGTGGCACCACTCAAGGTCTGTGAGCCCAAGGAGGCAGGGGGTGGGTTTCCCACTGGGAGAAGGGTTTATACCGCACAGACGCCCTGAGTCTGCCCTGTGCCCCGGGAGCCAGGAGGTAGTGCTGGCTAGGAGCGCTGGCTGTGTATGGGGGTGCGAATCTGCACTTGAGCACTTCCTTTTTATCTGGTGGGTTTGCCTTCCGTGTGTCTGGATAAATGCATGGCTGGCCTCTGCATGGCCAAACCTCAGACAGTGCGTCGGGAAGGTAGAGGACTTGGCAGCAGGAAAGCTCAGCCCCAGCCCTGACTCTCTTGTGAGCTCACTGACTTCGGGCAAGGCTCTTACTCTCTTGGGGGTTTATTTTCACACCTACAGACCTCTCACAAGGTGGTTCTGAAATTGAACTTTGCTGCCTGGAAGTTTTTGTAAATGGCAAAGCCAGTGATCATTGTGATGATTGAAGCTTTTAGGTAAAAAGCCCTCAGTTTCTCGTGTATATTTAAACGTTCCAGTCTGGTGTTCATCATATTTAGCATTTATAAATTAGTGCCGTAGAACTTCTAAAAATAAGCTGGTTCAATACCGTCGTATATATCTTCCAAATGAACTTGGTGTACTGGCCTGAGTGACAGACATCAGGCAGAAAATTCAGCTTGAGGCTTGAGATCATTTTCCTATTGAACATGAGTTGCCCAGCATTTTTTGAGTAGCAATACTAATCTGCCTTGTGCTAGACCCTGGCAAGCCTCTTTGCCATCCCTTGGTGGTGGAGCCAGGGGAAGGCTCCTTAGCGGAGGCAGTGAGATCTGTGCCAGGTCCCAGCACGGAATGTTGAGAAGTCAAAGGGGAAAAAAAAAAAAACTCGTGTCTCCAGATTAAAACTGAATTTATTTGGCAAGAGAGAACTGCTCCACCAAGTGGGGAGTAGGGGGGGGCTGCTGTCCTTCACCCACATCCCCCCACCCTGCGCACCAGTCTCCTTGGCCCTTGCTTTGCTCTGCTCTAGTGTCTAGAGCCTGGTCCCCGTGCCCTTGATGGTAGTGGCTATGTTTCTGCTCCTTAACAGCATCACTGCGAAACACGTTCTTTCTCCTTCCAGCAGGTAAGAGTCCAGGGACCAATCTTACAGGCAGAATGTCTGATTTATTCAGCTGCAGTGTGACTGACTCCGAGCACAGTCTGGGGAACCATCACCATCTGAGATCACTTAGCCAGGCTGGGTTGTAAGTGTCCTCTCGGCATGTATATTTGTCCTTTCTTTGGTGACTACCTCTAAAAGGGGCACTTGGACATGACAGTCTCCTGTTTAAAATGCCTCATTATATATTTGTATATTTAGGTGAGAAGTTGACTCTATGGTTATTTAGTTTGTTTGAATTCTCATCTTTTAGCAATAAATACTGAAACACTTCAGTACTCAATGATGTCTTTGCTTTGCTTCCGAATCGTATGAAGAGGGGGGTGTTGTGAATGGCAGTGGAGATGAAACAGAATTGGCTATGAGGTGACAGTTGCTGAGGGAGGTAAGGGGACTCAGGGGCCCCATCAGACTGTTCTCTCCATGCTTTTTGTATTAGTAATTTTCCATAATAAAAATAGAAAAAGCAACCCCCTACCATAGGTTTCCCATTGTCTTAAGAATCCAGCTCTCTTAACACAGCCCTGAGACCCCTTCACTGCATGGAATTTACTAACTGTGTCGGGCTCATGGTCTTGCGTGCTCGGGTCCCCTGAAAGTGTCTGAAGTAACATTATTTGCACGTCTCCACTGCCCCTTTCCTTTGCATTTGCTGTCTTCTCTCTTTAGGACGTTCTTTGTGTTCCATTCCCCATCCTCACCCTGAGTCGCCCACCTAACTCTTCTGGGCCCAGGGGTCCCAGGCAGCATCACTTCCTGCAGGCCTTCCGCAAGCACCCTCTGCCCTAGTGTGGCACAGCTGTCCTCCTGGGGCTGCCTCTGTTGCTCTTTCCCTCAGCGTAGCTGCCCCCTGCCCACATACACCATGATTCCACCTACCACTTACTTCTGGTTCCTTCTACTATATTGCATGTTTTTGAGGTAAGAGCTTCTACCTTCATACTTCTGTGCCTGCTACCCACCACAGTGCTTGGCATTAACTGGGAAACCCATTGGTGAGGCTGAAAGGCCCACCCCAGAGTGTGCTGTGCTGGGCTCTGGTCCCCGCTGCCTCTGCAAGGGGCGGCAGCCTAGGCACTTAGTCCCTCCTCACCACCACCTCTTCCCCCGCCTTTGTTCTTTCATTGGTATTTTCACTTACTTTCTATGAGTCACAGCAGGGCCAACATAAGTTTGGACATTACTTGCCAAAATTATGCACATGAAGAGGAAGTCAAATCAAATTTGGACCGAATGAGTTTGCTCTTTCACAGAGGAGTTTTTAAATGGCGTTCACTGTTACTAGCCAAGTGTCAGCTTTTCCTGATGCCATGATAGGCTCCTTCCCTGTTTTGAATAGGTCTCTCCAGGACACAGCTATGAGGGCAGTTGAGCCTCATTGTCAAGTTGGCAGACTTGGGGACCAGGAACGCAGTGCAGAAATAATCGTTATACCTGTTAGAAGTAGGAGAAAGAAACATGAACGGGGTGTCTCCAGACAGGATGGGTAAAGATACTGCAGTCTAGCCCATACAGAACGAAATGCTGTGCTGCCATGGTAATGGATGAACTAGACCCAGACAAATACACTGGCCTGTCACTGAAAGGCAGCAAGTCAGAGAGTACATGTGGGGTGATACTATAGCTGGCTCTAGAACAGGGCAGGGCGAGGGGCATTAGATCCCTAGATGCTCTCCAGGGGTTTGATGTCAGGACAACTCTGCCCCCATACCAAAATCCATAGATGCTCAAGTCTCTCTTAGCCAGGCCTCTATTTCCACGGGTTCTGTATTTACAGAGTCAACCAGCTGGGAATATAGGTTGGCTGAATCCTCAGATGTCCTTAGGGACAGAAAAAGAATCCACATGTAAGTGGACATGTGCGGTTCAAACCCGTTGTCCAAGGAGCAGCTATTTATGTATAGAGTTCAAAGATGTGGGAAATTTGAACTGTTTAGGAATTCATACGGTAGTATATGTAAGATGCATGTACACACTTTGGCAAGCACTGATATGAACACATCATCAGGACAGGAAGGACAGGGAGACATGGTTAGGGAGAGGCGCGGGGTGCCACAGTACAGCTCACTCTTGCTACCTTGGGCTGCGTAATAGCTGCATGGTTCATTCCACTTGACCTTATACTTCATGTGTAAGCTACTGCAGTCTTTGCATGTGATATCTCCTAATAATAATGACAAAAACACATCCATCATCAATGTTTCAGAGAGGGTACATTCCCAGCACTTTGAGAAAGAAAGTACTTTGGTTCGTGTTTAATGTTTTAGTGCTTTTCTTCTATAGCCCATGGGTAGTTATAATCAGATCATTCCTCATTTCTGCATTGCCTAAAAAGCTGATGGCAGAAATACAGATTGCATGTGTAGCCTTTGTTCTAGATCACATACCTGGTGCTTGTCAGAAAGCAGATCACGTTAACAGCTCTCTTCCATCCCCACCCTGATCTCCCTTTGTCCATCCCAGATGTTGCTGTGGTGGACATGAGTGATGTCTCCAGACAGCCTTCACTCTTCTACCATCTGGGAGTTCGTGAGAGCTTTGATATGGCCAATAATGTGATCCTCTACCACGACACGGATGCTGACACTGCTCTTTCGCTGAAGGTAAAGGGCGGGGTTCCTCTTCTCCTGCTGCCTTGCCCTGGGGAAGCAGTGGTGTGTTCACTTCTGTGCGTGTAGTGTAACAGAGGAGAGCAGCATTTGTGTGCAGCTCTTTCCTTTGCACTCCAGGCTGTGACTCCCACCGATGACTCCTGGCCGCTCTGTGAGCCTCAGCGGTACAGATGTGCGTGGGCAACATGGACATCTCCAGGCTCATGGGCGAAGCAAAGGCAAAATACTCCTCTAGTTTCTTTTGAAGCAAACACCACCCTGAATCTTTTCATGGGCAACTTGATCTAGACCTGTACATTTAAAAAAAAAATCAGTTCTGAACTTGAATAATAATTTGAAGACATTTGACAGTGCCAAAATGGGCAGAACATTTTAGCATAGGTATAATCAGTATTTAGTCTGTTATTCCCCCCTTCCATTTAAAGCATAGCAAGCCTGAAATCTGGAGTGTTCATGCAACTCAGAATTACTGAGAATTTTTTAAATGTATTTTTGCAACTCTGTAGCAAGCATTTTGAAGTAGCATAATACTTACAAAAATTGTTCATGTTTATAAAATGAATGTCTAAGTGAGTTACTGTAAAATTCAAGTAATAATATTGTTGACTATCTTAACACTGGTCTGAAAAAGCTGGTCTGTGTTAAATCATGTCAGCAATAAAGGATTAGTCTATCCACACAGTGTTCCTCAGCCTTGACTGCCCTTGACAGTCATTTGGAGAGCTTATAAATACCTTGGTACCCAGGCCACAGGCCACACCCGGGCCAGTGGCATCCAGGGGTTGTTTTTTTTTTTAATACTCTCCCAAATGTGTAGCCAGGAGTGAGAACCCGTGGTTCTGAGGTAGCTTTTATGGGCATTATTTCAAAATGTCCAGCTCCCTTAGCATTAAAGATAACTAGTCTTTAAATAGCATGATTTTGTAATGGCCAAGTTGGACATTTTTGTTTGTGTTTCTTGAGATTTAAGATTAACCATATTTTCTGATTCTTTAATAATCTTGGATTATTTCCTGGTGTAACTACCACCTCATTCACATGTGTAGCCTGTACAGGTTCTAGATCATCTGAACTTTGCTGACTGTGTCCTCTGTAATTATAATGCAGTGCTGTGGTTTAAGAAGGTATTAATAAGGCAATGTGACAGTAAAAAGGTTGTTTTATTGTAATACTTTACATTGTTGAATAGTTTTCCAAAGGCTGTAAATTTGTCTAAATTACTTGAGGTATTTAGATAATGGATTCTTTTTCTACTGCTGATTTTTCACTAAGACAGCAATGCTTCGAAATACCTACAATTAGGCCCTCCCTTGTGGCGCAGCGGGTTAAAGCTCAACACTAAAGAAGCTAACGCTACTTCAGCATGAGTTCAATCCCTGCCTGCCCCAGAAGTGATCCACATGGCACGACAGACCTCTTCTCACCTGCCCACTGCTCCCCTCTGCAGTGTACTTCATCAGCTGGCCTGTTCTGCTGTTCTGCTCCCCAGTCTGTCTCTGGTGAATCCTCTCAGCTCCCGCACCTCTGGTTCAGTATGCATAAATAAATATTTAAAAAAAAAGAAATACCTACAATTAGGAAATATGTCAGTGTAAATTATTGAACTACATTTTGATGAGAAACTTCAACTTAGGATATTTTCCCCCAGTTCAGTACATTGTTTTTTTCAACTGTGCTTTAGTGAATGCCTCTATGGAGTCCCATAACCTGCATAAGTTTTAATTTTTTTAAAGATTGATTTATTTATGTATACAGAACTGGGGTACAGGCCAGAGGTTCAGGGGCGATAACAGGATTCACCAGAGACAGAGTGGGGAGCAGAACAGGCAGATGGACGAAGTACACTGCTGAGGGGAGCAGCGGGCGGGTCAGGAGAGGTTTGCCACGCCATGTGGGTCACCTCTGGGGCAGATGGGGATCAAACTTGCACTGAGGTGTCTGTGGCTCACTTGCACTTTTACCCACTGTGCCACCACGGAGGGCCAAATTTTAATTTTTAACGATAGGGAAGAATTTTCCTAAAATGGAAACAGGTAGTCGATTCTATCCAGTGCCAGCAGAAGCAACCTGCTTTTGCAATTAGAAAACAGAAATCTCGAGACTTAAAATACACTTTATGGGGCAGCTGTTTAATTATGGTTTCTTTTTTCAGCAAGTGTTGGCTGCATAACTGGTACAGTAACTGGCTGTGGTGGCTGTTGAATTTGAAACCTAGATGATTATAGTGAGGTGTGTCAGGAACCGTGAGCCTTCTTGTGGGGAGGCACCCCGAGTGGTCTGTCACCATCACATTGAGTCACGAGACGGTTCCTTACCCAAGGACCCCTGGTGCTCCCCATGCCCTTCCTTGCCATCACTTGTCTTCACTGGGAACACAAGGTGGTACAGGACACTCAGAACCCCCGACCTGAACCTAAAATAGTTTCAGCCAAAACCCTTGCCACTGCTAGGGGAGAATCCTTATGAACTTAGATACCTCCCCACATAGTTCCAAAGCGCAGCCTTTATGATAAACCTCAGAATTAGGATATTATAGTTCTGAGAGGCTACGGGAAGCTTTTGCAGAGAGAAGTTTCAAACTATTAACTCTTGCTCTGCGTTGGGTGCTATGTAATGTGGGGGAGGCAAAATACTTGCTTGGGGGAACGATGTATTCTTCTTACCTTTTTCTTTTTCTTTTCAGGATATGGTAATTCAAAAAAACACGGTGAGTATTACATTTTCAGATTTTTTTTTTTACCTCCTAGGTGTAAACATAAAATGCTTGAAACTACAGAACGCACAGCAACGTCTAGGCACATCTTTGGCTGTGTTTCTGAGGAGGGCAGTGAGAAACCCCCTTTCCCTCAAGCAACCAGCCTGCTCCAGCCCCTCAGCCGCGCGGAGTGTGGGGCTGAGCAGGGGCAGGCAAGTGTCTGCTGTTCTTTCTGTACTAGGCCTTTGCGCCTGGAACCAGCTGTCTGATGGTCTGCAGAGCCGGGTCAGTGTCCCCAGAACCTCCACGGTTCTTCCAGCTGGAGCCAGGACCTCGCGCTCCCCACCAGGGACTCCTTAGCAAAGGAGCGTGTGAGCTTGTGCCCCAGTTGGTACAGCCTGAACTTGACGGTCCCTGCCAGTAGCTGAAGAGAAGTGTGGTGTAATTCCACGTCCTTCTGTCTCACTCGGGTTTGCTAGTCTCCCTTTTGTTTTAAAAGATGCAGCCATGACACGGTGATGACATTTGACACCTGATCCAGTGTTGGAGTTAAAAATATAATTCTCAGATTTTTAAGATACTTACTTTTAACTGAGTTAATGTCGGAATACCCCACCAGGTATTACCACCATAACGCCCACCACCAGCTCCCCCTCACCCCACCTCCATGGTCCTGTGTCCCCCCCCCATTGTTCTACCCCTCCTCCATTCCCTCTCCACTGCCCCAAGCTCCTGCTGCGCCTGTCCTGTGGGCACCCAGGGTAAGGTTTCCAGATTGTCTTTATCTGACTCTTAGTTTAGTTGCTTTATATTCCACATAGAAGTGACACCTTTCTCCTTCTGACTGACTTTACTGAACATTATCCCTTCAAGCTCCATAAATTTTTTTTAATGAAAATGACTTTTTTTGTGTATTGTTCTCAGCCTTTTTAATTCTTATGCTACTGTTTGCTATTTAAGAGGGAACAAAAAAAAAATAGCCACTTTCAGCACTGTCGTTATGCCTTTACGGAAACCAATAAAAACCTATCCAATCCCGAGAGACTGACATTACCTATTAAACCTTGGTACTTGCTGTTCGTCTGGTAGTGTCTGTAGTTCACGGCATTCTTTGACTTGGTTTTCATTTTCCTTTGCAAAAGGAAAGTTTTGCCTTCAGAGTTGGAGTATATTTTGCAGGTTGTTTTCCCGCTGGGCACAGACTCTGAAACTGAGTTTAGCGTACAAGACATTTATTAAGGAACACCCCTGGCACCAACACCAAGGAGAGAGAGGGAGGCAAGCAGGACTGGGCAGAGGGAGAGGTCAAACTGGGGTGCAGCCTTAGAAAAGCCTTGAGTGAGTGACCCCCCCCCCCGCCCTGGGGCCTTTGCATCTGGAATGATGTTCTGGGTTCTCCTGAGTTAGGGTGAGATGGACTGGCCTTTGTACAGCTGCAAACACTCCCCCCACCCCCCGGAAGGAATGTGACCCAGAGGAGTGCTTCCTGCCTTTCCCAGCAGCCTGCACAGCACAGCCTTGGGGGGGGGGGGTCTGGGCTGTGCACCTATGAAATCACTTCTTGGGGAAATGTAGACCCTAAAACTAAGGAATGTCTCTCCAAGGCTGATACAAGGCTCAGAAATACTTTTCCTCTATTGAATTGGTACCTGAAAAGCTGTACACAGCCTCTCCAGAGAAGACATGTGGAAATCTTTCCTGTCCCACAGGAAAATTACTAGAAGATGAGATAATCCACCCAAAATGTGTAGAAGGACTTGTTAAAAGTACCTTGGACCTTGTTTCCATTTGGACTTAGGTGTTTTTTTTTTTTTTTCCTGGAAAGTCAGTGAGATTGGAGGGAAACTCATTGTTCTAATGAAAAGAACCCCCTCTATAAACTCAGTAAATTGGATCTTGGGGAAACAGATGCAGTATTGGGGACATTGTCTGGAATGCTAGAAGTCTTTCCCTGGCTTGAGTTTAAGATAACAAAATGTCTCCTGTTGTATTGCTTGGAATCCAAAATTATCAAAGGTGATACAGACTGTTTAGGGTCACTTGGGTAAAAGGACAGAAACTTTCTCCTTTTCATATCCTTTAAATTTGCTGAGTTCAGAATCAGAATTTCTACCACTTTTACCAGTGAAGAGTCAATTTCAGACAAAAAGGCTACCTCTGTAGTAGATGGAGAAGAATTCTATACACAGAATATTTATTTATATATCTCTGCCTTTGAATATTTAGTTTGCATACCTCTTTTCTATTTCTACCTCCTATAAAATCCTCTGTTGGGTCCTTTTTGCTTTTTTAATGCCTGTGACCTTGTGTTCTCTTTTCCATTGCAGTACTCTGGAGGTAACAACCACAGAACTTTTCTGAATTTCTGTTTCTTTGAATAACACTGTCAAACTTCATGGAGCCAGTGTCAGAGTGAAAATAAAAATTTAATTCTGGGCAGCGGGTTGGAGCGCTGCACTGCGAAACTAAGCCAAGCTGTGGCCACTTTAGTGCAAGTTCAATCCCTACCCCAGAGGTGACCCACATGGCACAGCAGACCTCTCCTGTCTTTCCCACTGCTCCTCCTCAGCAGTGTACTTTGTCCATCCTGTTCTGCTCCCCGCTCTGTCTCTGGTGAATCCTCTCACCACCCCTGCATCTCTGGCCTGTACTCCTGTTCTGTATGCATAAGTAAAGAAATCTTTAATAACAATAGTGGTTAACACCAATCTGCTAAATACTTTATATTCACTTCCTTATATTTAAAAACTAAATGTAATTATGCTCATCAGCAGAATGACCTTTGGTGTCTCATCGTGCCCATTTTCTTTTTATTTTTGTATACATTTTACATCATTGTTCATTTTGCCCATCATTTTCTTTACATTGAGGGAGAGCTCACATGTTGTGGAACTCGCCAGTCACCCATCTGATTGGTTTTGTGTCTTGTGCCTCCTCTCTTTAAGGGTGTTTCAGAATGAAGGCAGAATGATAGTGATAGTGACGGGAATCAGGAAGGGGGAAAGGGCGTGAGATTTGTCTGGCTCTGTGCTCATCTCTGGGCTTAACCTTGCTGGGTCTCCGTTTCCTCCTCTATAAAATGAGATGGTTAATTGGGTGATCATGGAGGTTCACGCCAGCTCTGAAATAGTTCTAGGACTTTACTGTGGCCGTTCAGTTGTTTGCACAGATCAGACGGGCCGTTGCAGAGGCACAGCTGGTACGGCACGGTGTGCTTCCGGCAGGGACAGTTACCTCCCAGTAGCACTGCAGCCTGAGTATTCCATTGAAATTGTTATTCTGCTTCTGTATCTGTTTTCTTCTTGCATCCAGATAAATGCAGAAAAGTAGTGATGTATAATGCTATTTACATTGATTTTTTTTAAAAAAGCGTTTCCCTGAATGCACATGTGTCCTGATTTTTAAAAATTCCCCACCAACTGACCGAAGAAATGTATCTTCACAGCTTAAACCTTGTAATCATTTATTGTGGGGCGCAGCACTGACTTGGACTAACTTCCTTAATAAACTGACCTTATCAGACATGGTCATGTTAAGTGCATTGTTATGAATTATTTTCCAATGTTTGTTCATTCGCTCCCTGAATCTTCTTGTGAGGAATCTTCTGTGATTTTTTCAAATTCAGTTTTCAATAAGGATTTGCAACCCTTTTGTGTTATAAGCTATAAATACAAACCACTTTCTGCCAGCAGTCAAGATGTGTATTCTTCCTAAGTGCTCAGAAATGAGTTTGTCTTGGGTACTATTAAACCTCTTCCGTCATCTGCCTTAAATGCCCCCTCTCCCTACTTCTGACGAAGCCATTTATTGGTGGATTAAATTTTTGTGTCATTATTAAAAAGGCTCTCTGGAAGGTCAAGCTGGAAGTCTCATTATAAAGTCTGTTGGGATAAATTCTAAGCATTTTACTTGCTCCAAAGAATGAGTTTATATCACTTGTGAAGCTGTTGACCAACTTTGCCACCCACCACTAGCCATAAATGAAAGTAAGTGTCGATGTAACGAGGCCCCATTTTTTGTTTCCATCTTGGCCTTCTGGGCTCCTTGACCTTTTGTGTAGGGCACCTCAGAGCAACCAGATGACAGGCGAGTCGTAGGTGTCCTTGTTCAGTGGCCGTGATTGAACCCAGTAGGCCATTAGGTTGGGACGCCGACATGCTCTGCTTTCCTGGACTGTTTGTGGATGGGAGTTGTGCTACTTTTCATGAAAATCTTTAGATATGAAACTCACTGAAGGGACTCTGATGTTCAGGGGAAGCTATATCAGCTAGGTTTGGGGAGACTGTGGGACCTTTTTGTCAGTCTGGCAGAGTTTGTGGATCTCTTCTCACAATGTCTTTTAAGATGCTTACATGTAAGTTATAAGGATAATGAAGGAGGCTAGTTACACAGTAATATTTTGGGCAGTAAAATGTATTTACCAAAATATTAAGGCTGCAAATCATCTTAAGTAATATTGAAGGCATTGTTACTTCTCTGTTGAAGGTGGATGATGACAAAGATGTAATTTTTTTTTCTCATTCATGTTCACAGACCCCTGCCACCCAACCAAGAATTACTAGAACCCCGGTTCAGAATTCCTGGTCTGGTCTAGAACTACTGAATACAGTAATATTTACTGGATGCCCAATAAATATGTGCCAAGGCCATATTAAGCCTCTATTACCAAATGAGGTTGACAGTGGTAATCCCCCATCCTAAAGGTGAGGAAACTGAGGTTTACATAGATCAGTGTGTTTTCCAGAGTCAATCCATCTTGAATGGGGTAGAGCTATTCAACCTTGGCCACTCAAATTCTCCACTGTGTTAGCTATCTTTTTTTTTTTTCTTGGCTATCTTTGAGTTGAGGTGATACCTCCTATTTCTATATTGATGAGGTGTTTCTTTTTCACCTAATTTAGTAAAACTTTTCCATTTACTAGAAGAGAAACTCTACCTAACTCTGCTGAGAGGAAGACGAAAAGTCTTTGCATGACACAGGCAGGAATACAAATTACTCCACCTTTTTGGGGCAAGAACTTGGCCACACATGTCTAGGCCTTAAACTGGCTCTGGCAATTTCACTCCTTAGAAATTATTCTTAGAAAAAGACCAGTATACAAAGATGCCATATGCAAAGGTGTTAATCGCCATACTATACAGTAAAGAAAATTGAAAAAAGTACTTAAGTAGGAGAATGGTTACATATACTATTATGAGTATTTGCTAGATGATTTGTTAGACGTTAAAATGTAATAGCATTAGAGATGGCATAATCAAATTTTTGTAATAAGAACTTTTCCAAAAGCACCTATTTTTTAACTTAGTGAGGATCTGTTTGTAGTAGAGATCATTTGTAGATGGTGGTTATTCTGGAAATTTCAATTCCTAAGTTAGGAATTAAAGACTTTAGAGTATGACCCCTCAGTATCAGAGACCGGTGGCTTTACTCTGCTCTCTGACCTCACTCTATCAGAATCATCCTTTTGGAAATACTTGAAAACAAGTTTGGAATAAGGGTTTACATATTATGTGGCTAGCATAGTGGTTCTTACCATCCCTTTATGTAAGAAACTAAGGTACCTTTGTTAGATTTGTTTTAATTAGCTGGATTATTGAGGTGTTTCATTTATAAATGTAACAATTACAAATATCCAAGCCTACCTTGCTGTTGAACTTGTCTTATGCTAATCAGTATTTTCCTTTTTCATTTCTGGTCTCTCCAAGTCTGAATGTGTTCCACCATTTGAAGATGTTTGGGCCTGTTTGTCTTCTTTATAAGAAAAGTACTGAACTCAAGAGCCTATGCTTTCATTTAGAAGTTTATGAATTGCTTTTCGAAATGTAGTCATTAATCCTACTTTCTTTCTGTAAAATTTTTAAACTTTTATACCTTTATGAAAGATTTTCTCAGAGGAACTGCGTTTCACTTTTCCAAGGCTCCAATTTCATTAAGCTTGCTTAATTTTCAGAGTGCGTGCTTCCCCTCTCTTTTACTTCACTTTCCCCTGTGGTTAAATATTTGTCTGAAGGCTCAGAACCCTTCCTCACTGTGGGCAAGCCTTTATTGGCCTCTGCTGCTGCTGCTCTGACCACTTGAGCTACAACTTCTAACAATACAAAGCACTTGTAAAAATTTTACATTTTAACACTTGATTATTTAGAATTTGAACAAGATGGGAGAAAAGTTTACTTTTTGCTATTTGGGTAGAAAAGGTTTGCTAAAAGAATATAAGTGAAATTTCAGGCAAGATAACTGTTTTGGAAATAAAACATTTTTATAAAAATAGGTTGGAGTCTTGTATTTCCAACTTACCTAATTCTTACGGAGACTAAAGAATATTTAGTTATGTTGGTAAATATCTTTGATAGACTTACTGCTTTGTATTTTAAAGAAGTTGAAAGAGGGAAAGAGAATACTTACCTGTTCCTAGAGTTCCTGGCATTCTTGATTTTATCATGTGAATTACAATTACTGTTTGGTGTCATTTGGTTTCAGCCTGAAGAACTTCCTTTAGTGTTTCTATAAGATGGGCCCACTAGCAAGTTTATCTTTTTCCTGTAAATGTCTTTTATTTCACCTTCATTTTGCAAAGGTAGTTTTTCTAGACATAAGATTCTTGGTTGACTGCTTTTATTCTTTCAACACTTTAAATATGCCATTCCACTGCCTTTTGGGTCTTCGTTGTTTCTGAATGAAATGTCCTATGTTAACCTGACTGGGGTTCCTTTGTGAATGATAAAGTATCCTTTGCTTTCAAGACTTTACATGTGAATTTCTTTGCATTTATCCTACTTGCAGTTTATTTAACTTATTACATATGTTGATTCTTTAAATTTAGTATGTTTCAGCAATTTGAATATTTTTCTGCCCTTTTCTCTCTTCTCTTGGAACTCCATGAATTGTTAATGTATGTTGGTGCACTTGATGGTGTCCTGTATTTCCTTGAGGCTCTGCCCTTTTGAAAATAAATCCATTTCCTTGCAGGTATTTTACCTTCTAGACTTCACTGATCCACACATCCTTTTTTGGAGTTTAGCTATAGCTCAGCCATCAAATACAAGCCTTTTCCTTCTGTGATGAAATAAAATATACCTTTCTGTGGCAACCCTCAGTTCTGTGGCAACCCTCAGTTAAGCCCCTCTGTTTTGGGGGTCATGTAATGAAGCAACCTTGTTTTGAATACAAAATTGTGTCAAACGTCACTGTGCTGAAGCTTGTGAAATTGAGTGGTTTCCTATTTGGTGCCTGAAATATTCATAATTACATTGAACAAGTTGTTGTTCATACTCTAGTGCTTTCTCCTTTCCTGTCCTACCAGCTTTCACCTGCCCGAATCCACAGCTCTGCTTTTGTGCCAGCTACTTTGTGAAACGTGTTTGGTTTTGTTTTCCAGGCATCGAGTGGGAATTACTATTTCATCCCATACATTGTGACGCCTTCTGCTGATTATCTTTGCTGTGAGAGTGATGCCCAGAGACGTGCCTCCGAGTACATGCAGCCCACATGGGATACCATCCTGGGCCCGCTGTGTGTGCCCCTGGTGGACAGGTTTACTAGCCTCCTCAAGGACATCCACGTGACCTCATGGTAATTCCCATTAGCTGTCAGCAGATCTGGGGCCTGGCCAAAAGTGCCCCTTCACATTCATGGAGGCCACACACTCTCAAAAGACCAACGTGTCTGGGGAATGAGGATCCCAAGCCAAGCATTTTTGAGTCACCCTAAGGTCCATTATCATCCCTTCCTACCTCACTAAGTAGGTCCACTGAGGTGTATCAAATCAAAAGAACTGGAGTGAATGAAGTCAGGCTTGAGTATGTGTCTGGCCCTAAATCTCTATGTGACCTTGATTAATTTTTCTTCTCACCTGGAAAATAAGGACATTAACTCTGATTTTTTTTTTATGCTCTCTTTTCAACTCTGAGAATCTGTGTTTCAAAATTATTTCTGAACATGATTTCCTGACCCTGTCTCACCTCCGTCAGTTACTGAGGTGGTCAGAAGGCCTCCGTGAGGTCGTTGTGACTATAACTTCTTGTGCTAGAGAAGTGTGATGGCGTTGCATGGAGCCAAGGCTGTCCTGACCACAGGGAATCCCAAGATGTGTTCTTTGTAAATTTTTGTCAGATGGTGTGGAATGCTGACTGCGAGGTGGACAGGCTTGAGTCTGAATCCTGGCGCAGGCAATTCCTTGTTGTGTGGACTTGTAAGAGTCAGATAATTTCTTCAGGCCTCCATGCTCAAGAAACTACCCCTTAAAATGCTATTCTAAAAATTGAAGGCAGAAAAATTATTCTGCTTAACCAAAGGATTCAGTTACTTAGTTTGCAGCCAATTTAAAGAATATATTCCTATAAGGTATGTCACACAGGAGAAAAATTTGTCCTTCCAAAACAAAAGGAAATCCAAAGCCTGGTGGTGGTCCACATGCCCCACCTTGGTGCCAGTGGTCACGCTCTGAGCTGTGATGTGTTACTCTTGTTGTATGGGTGTGAACTCCATATTTGTTAATAGACTTCTCTTTTTCTATCTCATCCCCTCATCTCTGGATGCAGTTTCTTCTACAGATTTGAATGGGCAGAGAAGACTGGAAACTCAAACACGTGTGACTGTGCCAGTGGAGAAAGCAAATAGGGAGCAGTTAGGGTCACCTCCCTGGACAGCTTCTCATCAGTCACACCTTGTTGTCTTATTGCAGAATGAACAGCTTCGCAAGGCTGAAGGAGAAACTTCTCCCAGTGTCCTCTTTTTAGGTCGCAAAGAGGTAGATTAGCTCAATTTTGTCACACGAACCAGGTCTTTGTAAGAAATGGACTAGTATTTGTTTCTCATTCAGTGTAAATATGTCTCAGTAGGGAAATAATTCTTTTGGTGTAATGTCAAAGGTCTTGAAAGAGCTGTTGGTGGATTCCACCCCTTGAACTGGCAAGCCTTTGGCAATGGTTAGAGGGTAAGTGGTGTTGAACGTTGGGGTCATGTGTGGTCATCGTTATGTATGTATAGTCACGTACTGGCTATGCTTCCCAGTCAGGGGTGGCAGAGAAGTTTTAGCTCAAGTGCCAGCTGTGATAGGCTGGTGAAGGTGGCCTGGAGCTCTATGCTGGAAAGGCGCTGGAAGTCATTTTCAAGTTTATATTGATTCACAACATCTTCACTGGTTACCAGAAGCGGCCAGGGCTGCATGTCTGTTAAAAATAGGACATCCCTTCAGCCTTAGTTCGTCAGCATCTTCTTTCTTGGGAAGATTCTGTTCCCACTAGGTTTCCTAGCTATTAAAACTGCTTTTCAGAATCACCCTTGGAAAGAAAACTAAAATATAGCTTTTGACTTGTCAGAGCACAACTTTGATGTCTTGATAGTCCACAAAATGGACAGTGGCTGTCACCCAAGTCAGTGACCCCGTAAACTAATGACAGAATTTTAAACATTAGCAAGATCTGCTAATTTGCTCATTGTTTGGATGATAAGCAGTAAATAAGTAAGGAAATAAAAACCTAAAGCAGAGCACATTTTGTGGGCCATCATTTTTTTCAAATGTTCATTGAAATCTTTATTGCAAGCTTTGTGCTGTGTAAGCTTGTACTGTGTGGCATGGTTTTATAATTAACAGTGACATTCTCATGTTTCTCTTTCATTGAAAAGTTTACTGTTTAATTGTGCTTATTTTTTTAAATGAACATCCTAATTTTACTCTCTATTTAAATCATTCGGCTACTCGGTGTGTTGACAGTGCCATCACTTGGCAATGCTTAGTCACCAGTTAAAAAGTTCACCTGGAAAAGAAACACAACTCAGTCGGTCTTTGATCATTGTGAGCTGATGTCTGTGTACCAAGTCGGGTCATTTTTAAAGATTTTTACACTAGCATCAAATGCTTGCATTGGTTTTTTGTGAGATTTTGAGTGTGAAGTTAAAATGCCTTGAATGTGTCTTTACATCCCTCTTATCATCCAGATGCCCATAGAACAGGGGTTTTATGCAGGGAGAATGGTGGGTGACAGGCAAAAGTAGTCATAAGCTTCCAGGCCCGACTTCTTGGTTTGCTTAGAAACACAGCTTGTTTCCAGCTCTTGACCAGCCAGAAAAAACTTCATGATTAGTAGCTTGGACAGATAGCATCTGATAGGTAAATGGATTGCAAAGTTCTCATTTTACTGCATTTCAAGTCCTTTGGAGTTTTGTTTGTGCTTGTGATGACCTGTTAATCAGTGGGATAATAACTCTTCAAGCAAGGTACCAGAGGAAGTCAGTGGATGACATGTCCTGTAGGTCTTTCTAGTCCAGCTGGGGCAGCTTTGAAAAGGTTTTCAAGGTTGTTATGAGGAGAATTTTTCTTTCTGTTAGGTGGTTCATTTCTGCAAAACGTCAGTGCCACACTGAATTTGTCTCGTTTGCCTTATGTAGGGAGGGCTATAGGTTTGGGCCAGGGGCCCGGGATGTTAGCCCAGTTCACACAAATGATAAGTGCAGTAGGTTGCGCTGCTTAAGGAAGCAGAGTCCTGGATACATGGAGATGTGACCACAGGTTTGTGTATCCCTCTGCAGTGCTTATTACAAAGAAACCTTGTTAAATGATATCCGGAGAGCCAGGGAGAAATACCAGGGTGATGAACTAGCAAAGGAACTGGCTCGGATCAAACTCCGCATGGATAATACGGAGGTTCTGACCTCAGACATCATCATCAACTTACTGCTGTCCTACCGTGATATCCAGGTACGGAAGAAACAGAGCTGAGCCACCGTGCTGAGCTCTTCGTGGCATGAGGAGTGCTTGTGGGGGGTCCTCGAGCACTGTGTGCATGGCTGGAGGCATGTGTTACAGGCAGAACAGGCACATGGCCAGGTTGTAGGCCATTTTGCATTATCTGTGTGGGACATACTGGAGGTTTTGTCATGTCAGAGGGCTGCTCCAGCAAAATCTCACATCCAGTATGCTGAGTGAAAATAACATGGCATTTTTTTTAAAGATTTATTTATTTATCTATACAGAACTTGGGTATAGGCCAGAGGAGCAGGGGCGGTGAGCGGATTCACCAGAGACAGAGTGGGGAGCAGAACAGGCAGATCAACGAAGTACACTGCTGAGGGGAGTAGCGGGTGGGTCAGGAGAGATCTGCCTGCCTTGTGGATCACCTCCGGGGTGGGCGGGGACCGAACTCATGCTGAAGTGGTTTTAGCTTCTCAGTGCTGTGTTTAACCCACTGCGCCAACAGGGAGGGCCTAGAACATGGCATTTTAACAGTTTATATGCCCTTTGTATAGGACATTATTCCAGACTCTTTGAAAATGCTAATGTATTTAACCTCCTCCAGAAGCCTGTGAGGTATATACTCTGAGGAGCACCATTTTTCATATGAGGAAACTGTGGCACAGAGAAGTTAAGTAACTTGCCCATGGTCACACCGCAACTGAGAAAGTCAGGATTCTCACTGAGGAAACCGCTCTGTTGTCCTTGTCTCTCACTCCACTGCTTTGCTACTTCCTTTAAGCCTTTGCCACTTCCTCCTTTGGTTAGCACCACCCTCAGAGACAGGATGAGTACGAGTAGCAGAGCCACATCTGGGATGCAGGGAATACAGGTGTTTATTCTAAGACAAGTATCAGAGGCTTCTGGAGAGTTCCTGTGACAGAACTTGTGGGATTAGTATCATAAGGAAATAAAGCAATTCCTCACTGCAAGTTCAATGCCTCTGAATCATTTCTAAGAACACCTTGCCTTTCTTCCCTTTGGAGGAACATAAGGTCATGTACCTTAGCCAGTGAATCCTACAAAGCCATATCAGTGAGGTTTGGCCTAGACCTTTAAATATGAGCAAGAGAGGCATACATGTCTGACCTGAACCACTGAGGGACTCAGGCCCCGAGTGATAAACAGATGCCTCTAATTAATTTCAGTAGCAGATGCTTTTAGGGATTAAGGCGAAGAGTAAGTCATGTCCTGGGGGACAAGAGAATGTAAATGGCCATTTTTGAAGTCTTTTTTCCCTAGAGCTGCTGGCTTCCTTCTGTCCTTTCCTTCATGCTTCTCTTTTTATAACCTTTGCTAGAACTCGGGGCTAAAAGGTAAGCCTTCCCTTTATTTGGGCGGCAGCAGCAAAAATGCAGAGCCACAAACAGGGGATTTGGGTGGGAAGCCCACGGCCTACTGTGGCTGGCTGTCAGCAAGTTGACCAGTGACAGCACTCCTCAGCCTGGCAGGGAGGTTAGCAGATGGCACTGATCACCGGCGAGCTAGCTGGGAAAACTTGGCAGCAGTTTTTCTCTGGGTGATGGTGCACTTTAAAGCAGTGGTTCACAACCAGGGCATATGTGACAACTCTGGAGACATTTTGGGTTGTCACAACTCCAGCAGGGTGTGGAACAGGTGTTTGTGGCATCTAGTGGGTTGAGGCCAGGGGTGCTGCTGCACATCCCACAATGCAAAGGGTGCGCTCAGGTGCCACACTGACCGGGGTGCTGAGGCCGAGCAGCCTGTTCCTGGTGAATTTGATTGTTTCTGGCTAAATACAGGCACGATGTTTCTTTCTGCCCTTTCCGTGGGGAATGGCTACCAGGCTCGCTTGCTTCCCTTCTCTCATGTTTTAATCTTATCTCTGTTCAGCTAAGGTCTGTTAGTAACAACACTAACCTTTGACTGTAAGGAAAGGCTTGTGCTTAAATGCTGAGATAGTCTTGTGTGTATACCTGTTCAAAAAATAATGTACAAAAAGCAGCATTTTCTCTTTTTCACCTTGAGATCTCTTGTCAACAGGACTATGATGCAATGGTGAAGCTGGTGGAAACACTGGAAACGCTGCCTACCTGTGATTTGGCTGACCAGCATAATATTAAATTCCACTACGCATTTGCACTAAATAGGTAAGAATGTTAATGCGTATCGAGAACTTGGAAACATGACATTTGTCAGATTCTGTTTGCTTCTCTTGTTCAACCCTCATTGAGCATGGGCCAGATCACGTGCCCAATGTGATCAGGGTCACAGAAATGGGTACAGCTGATCCTGGTCTTCAGGCTGTTATAGTGGTGGGTCAGACATGTAATCAGATCCCTAGTGCTCACAGTAATGCCTTCATGTAGGTTTGTCTGAAGTTCTGTGAAAACAAAGCAGAGGTAAGACGTCATTCTATGTGGGAGTATTAAAAAGGTTGTCCTGGGGTCTCTGGGGCTGGGTGACGAGGTCATTCATTCCACTTGGCCAGAACAAAAGCGTGAGCATAGTGTCTTCGTGTTTGGCAGGCGTTCACGGACAATGATGTGCAGCTGAGGCCAAGGGCGGAGGCGGCGGCGGCGTGTTGAAAGGATCTGTGTACGCAAATAAGGAGTTAATAGTACCTTTATACTGCGGGGGACTAGTGTTTAAGCAACAGCATTGACCTCGTGTGGTAGGAAAAGAGAGCACAGTCAGAGAGCACAGTCTTTATATTCTAGGATAATCTGAACTTGGAATACTAATTACTGGGCAAGACAGAGCATGTGAGACTGATGAATTCCAGCCCCTCTAAACTTGGCTACTGTGGATTTGGGGGGTAGGGTAGGAGTTTGCTGCATTCAGCCTCACAGAGCCCCAGATACCTAAATATCCTAGTTCTGCACCTCCTGTCCTCTGCTAAGATGTGGGAAGGGGGCAGCATTAGGTGAAAAAGGAGAGACCATCCCAGGCCCACTTTCACACTCCTGCTGGGTCTGTCCCCTGCTGGAGGCAGGAGTCAGTCAGACTGTGGGCGGGTATTCAAATGCGGCCTAGGGGCCACAGGGCTCTGCATCTCCTGATTGACCTTCCAGTGCCTTCCTAGGGGAGGGATGAAGTGAGGGCTAGAGGTGGCCTGAGCAGAGAGCGCTGGGCTCTGGCCTCTCAGCGGCTTTGCTTGAGCCTCTGCAGCTGGAGTGGACTCTTCCCTCACAGCATCTGTAGGACAGGAGCAGAACTGGAGCCCGTGATTCCAGGAGTGCTGTGACCCAGGAGACCATGTCACTTTTTTTTTTTTTAAAGATTTATTTATTTGTACATACAGGCCAGAGGCTCAGGGGCGGCGAGAGGCTTCACCAGAGACAGAGTGGGGAGTAGAACAGGCAGATCGATGAAGTACACTGCTGAGGGGAGCAGCGGGCGGGTCAGGAGAGGTCTGCCGCACCATGTGGTCACCTCCGGGGCAGGCGGGAATCGAACTCATGCGGAAGTGGCTTCAGCTTCTTAGTGCTGTGCTTTAACCCGCTGCGCCATCAGGGAGGGCCGACCATGTCACTTTTTAATATCAAAGTAGAAAAGTGCGCTCAGTGAAATGCTTAGGCCCTGAGTGTGTACAGTTGAGCCTCCCTGCCCTGGGCTCCACATCCTTGGGTTCAGCCAACTATGGGCGGAAAATACACACTGTGGAGATAAGCTATGGGGGTTGTGTCTGCTCTGAACACACATGTACGCTCTTGTCGTTATTCCCTCAACAACTACGTGGCCTTGCAAGGTATTATAGTAATCAAGAGATGATTCAAAGCAGGTGGAAGGATGAGCATCGGTTATATGCCAAGAGCCACCCTTTCTTATAAGGTTACTTAAACATCTGATCATTTTGGTGTCTGCAGCGGTCCTGGAACCAAACCCTTGCAGCTACTGAAGGATGGCTGTCACTCGATGGGTCTTTATAAATGGGTATATACATGAAAAAGACATCCGTATCAAAACAAAACATTTCCATCCTCATGCGAAGTTCTCTTATGTCCGTTCACAGGCCCTCTCCACCCTCTATAAACCATAAGCAACCACTGTTGCAACATGTCTCCACTCATCAGTTTTTCCTACCCTTGAACTTGTGTAAATGGAGTCACGTGGTATGTATCCCAGGAAGCTGGCTGCTTTACTGTGCAGTGTGTGGAGAGAGGGAGACATGCTTTTGGGTGTACATTAGCTTATTCATTCCTGTTGCTATGGATATGCCACAATTTCTGGATTCATTTTACTGCTGAGCAACCTTTAGATTGTTTCCAGTTTGGGAATACTAACAACAGTGCTCCTGGGAACACTCACATACTATTTTTGTGCACGTTTCTGCTGGGGGTGCAGTGTGCGCATGCGTACTCCTGCAGTAGCGCCCCCTCCCCACAGTGACAGGGTTTTGGTGCCTTGGGGAAGGGGGCAGCCTGCATAGTCACTGTGAGAATACACCTGCCTGCCTGCTTTAAACTCGGCATCTCAAGGTGTGGGCCTTCAGGAAGGGCCTCTTCGTTAAGCCCGAGAAACTGTCCAGTAGCCCTGTTCTTCCAAAGTAGTGGGTTCCCCTTGAATTTATACTTACACTTGACTAATCCTTGATTGATGAGAATTACAGGAGTTAGTACTGGTTAAGTTCCTGGAAGAATGCCTGATGCACTGTTAAGTGCCTCTAAAAAAGTGGTTTTCATTAAAGCCAGAAGGGCCACTCCAGTCACTCATCACCATGCTTTTCTCCCCATGGGGTAGAGCTCTCAAACAGAACGAAAAAGTCCAGTTACCATCCCCTCCAAGTAGTGAAAGAATAGAAGAGTTTTGAAGTGGAAATTCCGTATCTGATAGTTGTGGCAGGGAGAAGTGGTGGGTGACAAGTCAGTTTGTGGTCTGGAAGCCGAGGGTAGGGTTGCATCCCAGAGGGCCACCTTTCTCTTTGCTGCTGGCTCTTTTCCTTCCAATCTCGTTGTCCACTTACTCTGGCACTCTCCTCTCTGCAGGCAGCATGTTCAGTGCCTAGAAGCTCATTTCCTCCCACCAACTAGGGATTTTCTGTAGAATTGTGACTTTGCTTCATTTAGCCACCTGATCTGGTCTCCATTTCTCATCTCTGCTTTGTGTCAGACTCGGCCAACTGGCAGTGGCCATGCTAAGATTTGGCATTCTGTTCAGTTCTGGAGCTATTGGTAGGGTTGCCTTCTGTCTGCAAAGGGTAATAGAGTGAGGGACAAGTGCTGAGTTTTCCTGCATTTTGGTTCACCTTTAACTTCCGGGAAGTAGAGCAAACCGTGGCCACCAGTTTGTTACTGCAGGTTGGTCGTAATCACTGCTCCTTGCTCCCTGTTCTTGGGAAAGCTGGTTTGTGTGGGCCAGTTTTTGCTGGTGTCTTCTTCACTGTATTCAGAGGCCCATTCAAAGCTACTGCGAGTTTCCACTTAGCAGGGCAACTGCTTGCCTCGAAGGGGCATGGAACCCTTTCTCAGCCATTCTGAGCACTTGCCAATCACTCTTACAAACAGGACTTCATGAGATGTGCTGATGCAGCTAGAAAGTTCTGAGTGGGGATCCAGGCAGTTGGCAGAAGGTCTGGAAGAAGAATATCAGGCTCAGAAGTCCTCGGTTTAACAACAGAACAAAACGTGACTGGCAGAGTAGGAGCGTGTGCGCTCATATTCTGCTCTCTGCTGCTTATGTGAGGCCTGGCAACCCAGGCAAAACTTAACTCATTGAATTACTCAGCAAGTAGCAGGGCTACTGAATGCATGACTCACGAATTTGGAGTCACCATGAGTTCAGGGCAATACTGGAGAGCGGACGATACGCTGAGCCTTAAAACGTATGCAAGGGGCAGAGTGGGAGATGAATGTAAACTAAATCCTGCCCACGCTAGGGGCGCTGCAAGCTTGTTCCAGAACCTGCAGCGGTCACCTCGGCCTCAGCATCAGGGCTACCCAGCCAGGTCATGGCTCAGCTGGAGGACACATGTCCCCAGAGGGGCGGTGTGGGCTCCAGGTCTCTATGACAACCACCAGCCTCCCTTTCTTTTCTGTTTGCATTCACTATTTGATCTTGCCATCTTCATTTACTTTTCTAGAAATGGCCACTCTTTACTGCATGTTTATCAAAAGTAGAAAAACAATGGTCCCTTCACACTTTTATAATGCATTTGTCTCCAGGCATCCAAAAGCAGGTTGCTAAAGGATACAGTTTTGTGGTGATTCTTTTTCAAAAGAGAACCACAAAAATCTGCCCCCTGAGGAATCCCCTAGTTCAGATCTTTTCTTTCTGAAAAGAGGGGAGGAAAAAGTAAAGTCAAGAGCCCAAAATATAATCACTGATCAATAAGCACTCGGGAACTAAAGCTCACTAATTTTAGCACAGTGCTGTGCTTACACTGCAGTTGAATATCCTGGCGCAGTCAGTAACCCTCTTTCCAGGAAGCACGTCTTCCATTTTGTCTGCCTGAGCAGCAGCCCGAAGCTCACCTGGGCCGCCCGCCCGCATGTGTAGGGCATCCCTTCTGTCCCTGCTCTGCCGCCTGAGCTGAGAGCCGAGTGCTGGAGCCACTTTTTGAGTAACTACTCTTTATGCCAAAAGACCAGTTGCATTTTCCAGAGAAGTAGGCTAGCTCCATACCTTCTGGTAAGTGGCCTTAGCAATCATACTTTGCTTCTAAAAAATATTTACCCAAAGGGACTTACCACTTGTATCTGTCCTCATCCCGCCCTGCCAACATCCTTGAGCCCGTGGTATCTTGTCTGTCTCCTGCTTTGCCTCCTTCCCTCTGGTCCTTCCCTGTACTGGCTTGTTTGTGTGTCAGTGAAAAGGTGTTGTGCTAAAGGGGAGAGCTTTCGAGGGGTGACTACAAATCAAGAGATTAAAAATAGTTACACGTGTGCCTGTTCACATGCACACTCACATACACATGTGAACTTAGATGGACTGTCCTCTTGAGGCTGGTCACACTGCCGTGCCCTGCGTTTGTCCTGACAGCGCTTCCGTTATTCGGAATAGCAAGATGTCAGGGGGAGAGAATATTTTTCTTTGGAATTTTCTCAAGTGTCAGCTTACATGGCATATAGAAAGTCAATGTCATTACGTGGACTTTGAAGGCACAGATTCGAATCTGAACTTCTGGCTCCTATACGTAAACATTAGGGCC